TAAAGTTTTGGAGTTCCTGGACTTGGTTAGTTCTCAGTGACCCTGCTGGCCCAGAGCTCCTCTGCAGGGAGGTTTTGTTTTGTTTTGTTTTTGTTTTTGTCTGGGCTCATGCTGAAGTACCCTCACTGTGTGCCATGCACAGTAATATGTGGCTCTGTCCTCCTCAGTGGACACAGAGTTCAGCTGCAGGAAGAACTGATTCTTGGATGTTTCTCTGGTGATGGAGATTCTGTTCTTGTGGGCTGGGTGCTACCACCATAATAATGCATGTACCCCATCCATTCCAGCTTCTTCCCTGGGAGCTGCCTGATCCAGTGCCAGACATAACCACTGGTGGTGATGGAGAAACCAATGACAGAGCAAGTAATGGACATCGACTGTGAGGGCTTCACCAGGCCAGGCCCTGACTCCTGAAGCTGGATCTGGGACAGGACACCTGCAGATAAGAGGAGTCAATTCTGTCAATCACATGTTGTCACATCCCCTAATGGACACATGTATGAAATGGTCACACTCACCAGGAAGGGCTGTCACCAGATACAGAAGACCCAACAGTCTCATCTTCTAGGCTACACCCAATTTTCTCAGAGTTCAGCCTCCTGTGAGAGAGATGTGAGCTCCCACAGCTCAGGAGGGGATTTAACTTAGAGCTAGAAGATGAATTTGCAGGTGGGGAGTCAGCCTTGTCCTTATAAAAGAGGAGGGTGGATACCACTCCATTTTCTCATTACAACACAGCCATCACTTTGTCTCATTTTCTATAGTGTGTATCTGAGGTAAGACAGTTTGGGGACCACAGGGCTCACAGGACACATACAATGGCATGACCCCACCTCCACTTTCTAGACCAATGCCCCCCAATCTTTTGCTCCTATATATGTATTTTTGTTTTTTCCATTCATTTATTTCTTAACATTTTATATATTATTATTCTTTAATTAATTAATTTTATATTCAAATTCCAGTTTCTCTTCCCTCCTCTCCTTTTCCCTCTCCCACTCCCACCACCTCCCATCTGCTCCTTGTAGAGTATAAGTCCTTCCCTAGGAAGCTACTAATTCTGCCCATCATCTCCTTGAGGCTGACTAAGGTGCCTCCCCACCCCCTGGCACCCCTGTGTCTAGGCTGGGCAGGTTCTCTCTCCATGTAGAATGGGCTCCACTAAGTCTGATTTTGCATTAGAGTTAGATCTTGTTCACACCATCAGTGGCATCATGTATTGTCCCAGCTGCACCACTGTCACCTATATTAAGTGACACTGATCCCTCACTGTCTCAGGTCTGCTGATTCTGTGGAATTCCCCATCATGATCTTGACCCCTTTGTTCATATTATCACTCCTCCCTAACTTTGATTGCACCCCAGGAGCTTGGCCTATTGGTTAGTTGTGGATTTCTGCATCTGCTTCTCTCTGTTTATGGTAGAGGGTTAAAGCATCTCTGGGGTTGAGATTGTATTCTGTGTATCTTTTGCTTCATTTCTGATATCCACTTATGATTGAATACATACTATATTTGTTTTGTGGGAATGGGTTTCCTCACTCAGGCTGTTTTTTTTCTAGCTTAGTCCATTTGTCTGCAGACTTTAGGACATCTTTGTTTCTCACTGCTGAGTAGTACTCCATTGTGTGAATATGTCACAGTTTCTTCATCCATTATTTGGTGAAGGGGCATCTAGGTTATTACCAAGTTTTAGATTTTATGAATAATGCTGCCAAGTAATGTTTGCCCATCTTTCCTAGAAAGTTAGCATGCACTCATGTCATTGCAGCATGGGGTCCCTACCTACTTCTGTTATGATAAATCTTTCCGCCAAAAGTCACCAAGTCCCCACTGCCACGTGTGCACTCTATGTCAGCTGCCTGCCTGAGTTAGGGCCCCAAATAATGCACAGAGACACTTGTATTAGGTATCATGTTGCTTGGCCAATGACTAGGATTCTCATCTGTTAGCTCAGTCTTAATTATCATAAATCTATATATTTTATAAGACTTATCGGACGCCTTCCATTAGCGCTCTCCCTTACTGTTGGATCACAACACTGCTGGAGGAGGCAAAGTGGAAAAAAGGGAAACTTCCTGTTTCTTCTTGCTTAAATGAGTCTCCTTTGCTATGTCACTTCCTGCCTGGATCACCACTTCTCTACTACATTTCCCAGAATCCTCTTTGACTCCTAGTCCTGTCTAACTTGCTGTTTCATTGGCCAAACAGAACTTTATTCAACAATCAATAAGATAAACATACACAGCACTTCCCCATCATACTTCTTCCTCCTTCCTGACTGCAGAATGTAGAGGAAACACATGCTGATGGGAGAAGCTTCTTCCCATACTTCCTCCTCCCTCCTCAATTCCCAAGTCAACCAATCCGTATTCACCACCTTGCTGCCTTTGGAAAACAAATAGGATTCTAGTGAACAAAATACAATAAAGTAAAAATAGATAAAAATAATGCATTTGAACAGGAGAAAACAAACAAAAACTGAATGACAAGAGCCCAGGAAAAGGCACAAGAAACAGGTGTGGATGCAGAGACCACCTGATTTATATACTCAGAATTCCCATAAAAAGACAAAATGAGAAGCTGTTTTATATAGGCAAAGGAAGTCTAGGATAAAATAAGAGATGAATAGATAAATGTATAAAATAGAAATAAAGCCATGTGGTATCATGACATAGGGAACCTCCCAAAGGTATTTGATTAGATCCTGATGGCATCTGCTGATGGAAATGCAGCCAATGCTTAGGACTTTTTGGTTTCCTCCACCTGACACCCTTTGAGAAATCTCATTTTTCAATTTAAAGACGTTATGAATTGGAGATGGATTCTAGGATAGGGATGGGACCACATGCACACCTCCTTGTGCTCTAGAACCCAATCTGCTGTCGACAAATGCATGTGCTGGTTTCCCAATAGAGAAATTCTTTCTACTCTGAGTAAACTGGCTGCATGGTGATTGAGAGAGTCTTTGAACAGGGTTATTTCTGTTATTGTAGCATTTCCCAGGAGAGTGACACAGATTCCAGGAACTAAGGGACCCTGTAACCTTCTAGGGGAGGGTTCTAACTGCCATAGGAGTTGGTCTCCTGGGCCTTGTATGTGATTACCTGAGAGGAATAAACTCTGAGTAGAGTCAGGAAACACCTTTGGTGGCCTCTCTGCACTTACTCCCCAGGCTCTGCATGAATAATTTATTTTGGTTTTCCTTTTTGATGCATCATAGCAAAAATACATAGCAGTGTTATTGATCATATGGACTTGTTGTCATTTGAAAATGATAATACACAATATCAGACTGTGTACCTCTGTGTTTTCTTTGACAGAACATGGTCTCCAATTGATTATTTTCACCCCATGCAGGGATTGCTCTGAAATGTTTGTAGACAGTTTTATTCTCTATCAGCAATCCTTCATAGGTCAGGAAGGTTGTCTGAAGAACCTTGTGTGACTGTAATGCAGCAGTGTAGACATAAGATGGAATTCTGTGGAGAATGGAATCTTTGACTGTTCTTGAGAAATCCAGTCTCTCCCCACAGAAGTCAGCCCTATGAACCTTGCATTAGTCCAGCAAGTTCACATCTAACAACAACCCAACCTTCATATCACTGTTAGTGTTTCTGCTGAGAGTTCCCAGGGATATACAGATAAGGGAATCCTCTTTCCTTTCTATCCTGAGGCTGTGGTTTGTATCTGAGGAAGAGAGTTCATGATGCTGATGAACCTTTATGCTGCACATAAACCATTGGGAGGACACTGGGCCTTGGAGGACAACAAATTTCTGCAATAAAAATTGTCAGATTTAGTCTGCTATAAATGGCAGAATTATTTTTCTTGATATTCAGCCTTTGTAGAGCCAAGGTATGTGTGTTCTCCTAATTAAAACAGAACAAAACTGAAAAAGCATACATAGTCAGGATTCCTTAGATACAGATTTGTGAAAATTATAACATAGTCAAAAATCAACAGAGGTTGTAAGTGTGCCTTGACAGCTCTAAAACCAAATCTCTCTCTCTCTCTCTCTCTCTCTCTCTCTCTCTCTCTCTCTCTCTCATACACACACACACACACAAACACACAAACACACACACACACGTTGTGTTTCTGTGTGAGCTTGTATAGCTTGTATATGTGCTGGTTGGGGGGTGGTGAGGTTTTCATGTGCTGTACACTGATGTCCAGTCAACGTCTGTCAGTATCAACCTAAATCTTGTGACAAAGACAATCCAATTTTGGGAAACAGGTGAATGAACAACCAGGTATCCTCATTACAGCAACAACACTTTGACCATTAATAAGTGTAGAATCCCCAGATCTTGCCCAGAGTTACATGAGCAGGGCCCAGAATTTTGTCAAAGTAACAGAGTCTATACACAGAGGACTCCAAATTATGATTTTTAGTTCCATCTTCATCTCTCAAATGATAAGAAATTTGATTACCACTAAAATAAGCAGTCCAAGATTAGACTTACCTATAAATGATTATATAAGAATTGGAATTATGAGGAATGGTAAAGGGACTCCCCACAAATTTATGGAGACAACTTCCACCAAAGTATTTGCTGTGCTGTTAGGTACATCAAACTGAATTTTTAAAGGTGGTTTGGCTCTTCTTTTATTGCTGAATTTTATTTTCCTAGGCAAATTCATATTATAGTATAATCTCACTAAATTCTAGTGTCTTAGCCTTAAAGGACACACACACATACACACACACATCATAAGACATAATCAAAGGTTCTTATTTTCTGTTTCATTAAAGAAGAAGTGTGTCAATGGGGGTGGTCACTGATAAAGACCTCATCAAGTTGTGGTAGACTGAAGGGCACTGTCAATCAACATCACTTCATTCTCAGATGCCATTTGGGAAAACTGACAAACAACCTATAGGATTGTTAAGAGAAGGCTGACAACAGCGCACTCAGATTGATTAATTCTGATGAAGTCCCCAGGCAGAACTTCTGTGTTATCTCAGCTTCCTGTTCCTCCAGGTTTTCTGACACACTCAGGATGTGTTTGCAACACTGTGTCTTGCACAGTAATAGACAGCAGAGTCCTCAGATGTCAGGCTGCTGGGCTCCCTGTAGGTGGTGCTGGATGATGTCTCTGCAGTCACTGTGGCCTTGCCCTGGAACTTCTGGTTGTACTTAGTATCACCATTTTCTGGTTCTCCCCTTCCAATCCACTCTAGGCCATGTCCAGGTTTCTGTTTCACCCAGTGCATATAGCTATTAATGAAGTTGAAGCCTGAAGTCTTGCAGGACAACTTCACTTGAGGACCCAGGCATCACCAGCTCAGCCCCAGACTGCTGCAACTGGACCTGGGATTGGACACCTGTGGAGAGAAAGGCAGAGTGGATGTCACTGTCACCTGAGTGCATGGCCCCTCCTCAAGTCTGGAACTTGGAGCCCTTACCTGTAGCTGCTGTCACCAGGAAGAGGATGATCCAGCTCCATCCCATGGTGAGGACCTGTGATCTCAGTGACTGTGGAGAGGACACTGATCATGTGTAGTTGGTGGTGTGGACATCCCTGTATTTACCACATAGACTCACATGATTTGCATATTCATGAGCAGGATAGTTCTTAGATAAAGACCTAGTCCAGCTGGAGCAGAAGGAGGTGGAGGAGACCTGGGTCAGGCAGCAGGATGCTGAGGTCCAAATCCTCATCCTGTCTGAGGAAGCAGCCATTCCTGAGACCTGTGTAGACCCTGTGGATATAAAACCTAAGCTTAATCTCTCAATTTACAAGTAGACTCCCATCCAGAGACATTAGGTCTTCTTGGTGATAAAATTGTTTTCAGGTGGTGGTAATAATTGTGATTGGATATTTCTAAAACTAATAAATTAGGAGAAATTGTTTCATTTTTTCATGGACTTATGATATTTATTTTTCTAGCAGGTTGCTGCTTTGTGTTTCCTGTGTGTGCATGTGTGAGCACATGAGTGGTACTTTATCCCTTTCTTTTTGGTATGTGGTGACTTTTTATAGAGATAAAGAAAGGCTGTCATTTTGAGTCATAAAGAGGTAGTAAAGATCAGGAAGGAACTGGTCAGAGAAATTGTGATATGAACATATTATAGGAAAAATTTTTTCAAATATCAATAATAAATATATCATAGTGATAGAAACAGGAAAACAAAACATGTAATATTTAAGAAAGAGTTTTTACTGTGTTTGAATGTTTTAGACTTACATACCACTGCAATAGGTGTTGTTAAGCTAACAGTCTTTTAAAAAGAATCCAAGGAGACTATGGACTCCCCTCCTATCCTCATCTCATTTCTGTCCTCCTGATTTTTGGCTAAACCATGACCCCTGCTGGTGCTTAGATCCCTTTCAGGGTGGGATATCTTGGCTCACACTCTGGTTTCACAGTGCAGCTTGAGCAGTAACACATTCGTTCTCCTTCAGTGTTCACAGAGCTCAGCTTCTGGGACCAGTCGTGTTCCCTTAAATTTTATTTCTTCTTTTAATTCACAAATAGCCTTCCCTGAGTCCCCAGAGATCACAGCTAGGGCTCAGCTGTGTTTCAAGGAAGTGGCTCATGTCTGTTTTGAACAAAGTCCAGATGTTAGGTGAACAAAATGTAACAGGAGACACCATGATGAAAGTTACAGGTTAAGTAACTGCCTCAGGGAAAATACAAATGGGTCACATCTGTGTCTGATGTGCACAGTGCTCAGGGAAGCAGACGATGTGAGACCAGTTAGGGTGTGGGGGTCACTGAGTGTGGCCTCACCTCCCCAGTGAGTCCCCTAATCCCAGACACTGTCCTATCCGGATACCACTGAGTCTTTGCCTGAATCTCATGAGGGAAAATCATCACCAATGCTGCAGACCTCACTCAGCATTTGATCCTGAGTCATCACCAGAGTCATTTCTGCAATCAGAGGTGAGATATTTCCATGTAATTCACGTTAGACTGCGTGGTGTGTATATTGTAAATTGTGGCAAAAGAGAACTCTGTTTTCACAGACTCCACAGACCATAAACACAGAGAGCATGCTGAGAAATCAGTAGATGTGGCGACAGCTGTGACCACATAAACCAGCACTCAGTCATGTCTGCTCCTGTTCCTGCCCTGTCCGTCCCTCCATGTGTGACCTGCGCCCCCTTCTGGTCCTGAGCGCTCCTGCAGGGAGGTTTGTGTCAGGTTCACACTGAAGTCCTCTCACTGTGTCTAGTGCAGTAATAAATGACGGTGTCATCAGCTTTTAAGCTGTTCATATGCAGGCAGACACTGCTTTTGGAATCATCTCTTGAGATGGTAAATCTGCCACTCACAGACTCCCCATAGTGTGTTGCATAATTATTTGTTTTTTCTTCAATACTTGCAATCCATTCCAACCCCTTCCCTGGAGCCTGGCGGACCCAGTTCATCCAGTAGTCACTGAAGGTGAATCCAGAGGCTGCACAGGAGAGTTTCAGGGCCTTTCCAGGCTGCACCAAGCCTCCCCCCAGACTCCACCAGCTGCACCTCACACTGGACACCTGTGAAAAGAGAACCGTGTCCGTAAACTCTCACAAATGTCCACTGTCCCTCTCACTCAAGTCCAATAACACAGTATCTTTTCTTATACATAAATTACCTTTCAAAAGAGCAACAAGGAAAACCCAGCTCAGTCTCAACTCCATGCTGAGTGTTGAGTGTTCACTGATGACCACAGAATGGGAGGACCAGGGAGACCAGTGCTGGTCACCTCTATCAGAGCTTCAGCATCAGGGCTGCTTTTCATGGACAGAGGAGGGCATTATTTGCATGTCTTCCTGTTATATCCTGAACTCAGAGGCAGAAGCATTAGTGAAGACAAATAATGGCACAACTGTTTGAGATGGAATTAGGAACCAAGTGGTGTATAAACCATCAAAGCATCATTCATTTTCCCAGCCATGTAGCTTAGCTGCTAGAGTATTGTTTTTCATGCCCGAAGCCCGAGTTTATCCCCACCATTACATGGTAGGAAAGAGTTTGGAGTAGAAAATCTTATATTTTACTTATGCTTCATCTATATAAAACTGTGTGCCAGCAGAGAAAGAAAGAACATAGTAATGAAAAATAGACTATTAAGTTTGAATTCTTAGATTTACATAGAAATTTGTTTTCAGACTTCCTTTATTGTGCTCTATAATTGTAAACTTCCTCTCTCTTTGCATTAATTATTAAATTGATTCATAGTAATTTTAATAGGAAAAACCAAAATATAATCATTTAATAAACATTGTATAAGGTTCAGTAAATGATGAATGCCTAGGATTAATTGGATTAACAACATATGGTTGAGGATAGAACCAAGTGCTATACTATTTCATGCATAAAGCTTGGAGATTGATCCTCAAAAAAATAAAAGAAATGTTGTATAAAAATAAATATTATTTGAGATTATTCTTTAACAATGATTTAAAAAACATTTTGGTGACCCAGATTTAGCAATTAGTTCCTTCAGGGTTAACTTTCCCCACCCACCATACAGACCTGCTCTTCTCCATCACAAAGATACTGCCAGCTCTTCTGTGGCCACCCAAAAACACCCAGTAGGACTATTTCCTTCCATGCCATGTCCTTCTGCTCTCCGATTCTACAATGACTTGCCTTTCACAATCCATCAGCTAGGCCTGTTGTTTCTCACCTGGATCTCAAGAGACTTGCCTGCATCTGCATGGGACCACAAGGTAATCCACCTCCTTCCTCTCCCATAGCCTACTGTCTTCCTGTGACCTTCCTCCCCATGCCATCATGTTATCTTTGCTCTCTCCCACATCTTAGTCAGGGTGCATGTGGGGAGTCAGGCTTGTCTTTATAAAAGAGGAAGGTGGATACCACTCCATTTCCTTGTTACAACTTGGCCATCACTGTGTCTGACTTCCTACAGTGTGAGTCTAGAATAAGAGAGCATGGGGACTACAGGGATCACAAGAAACACATAGTGGCATGACCCCACCTCTGATACCTAGCACAATACCCCACTAAATTCTTCTGCTCCTGTATTTTTGCATCTTACTCAACCAAAGTATTTCTTAACATTTTATATATTATTCTTTTAAAAACATTATTAATTTATTTTTTACATCCCAATATCATTGCCCCCTATATTCTCTCCTCCTGTTCCCCCATCCCCTGCCACTTCCCACCTTCTCCTCTGAGAGGGTTAGGGATCCCCTAGGAGTCTACTGTCTTGCCCATCATCTCATTGAGGCAGCACTAAGGCACCTGCCCATCCCCACACCCCTGTGTCTTGCCTGAGCAAAGCATCTCTCCATGCAGAGAGAGGGCCCCACTAAGTTAGTTTGTGCATTAAAGTTCGATCTTAGACAATTTGCCAGTGGCCTCATAAGTTGTCCCAGTCACACCATCATCACCTATATTAAGGGGGGTCTAGATCCATCTTATGCAGATTCCCTATTTGTTAGACCAGGGTCACTGATCTCTCACTAGCTCAGGTCAAATGATTCTGGAGGTTTCCCCATCTTGGTCTTGACTCTTTTGTTCATATTATCACTCCCCACTCACTTCTATTGTACTCCAGGAGCTTGTCCCAAAATTTACTTGATGATTTCTACATTTGCCTCCATCTGTTTCTGGAAGAGGGTTTGGCTTCAGGGGTTGTGGATTGTATGCTGAATATCTTTTGCTTTATGTCTTTTTTTTTCCCTTTATGAGTGAGTATATACTATACTTGTCTTTCTGGGTTCGGATTAGCTCACTCATGATGGTTTTTTTCCTAGTTCTTTGCATTTGCCTGAAAATTTTTGGATGTCATTTTTCTCAGCACTGAGAGTACTCCATTGTGTTAATGTACCACATTTTCATTAGCCATTCTTCAGTTGAGAGGCATCTAGGTTGTTTCCAAGTCCTGGCTTTTAGGAATAATGTTTCTATAACCATAGTTGCTGCTCCTGTTTTTTTAAGGTCATTGATAACGTTCTTTGCACATTTGTGTTCCTGAGTTAGTGGTTTCTGATTAGGAAGACCACACTGCTCAATTTTCCCCTTTTCCACACATGAGATGGGTTTCTGTCTTTCCCAGAAAGTCAGCATGCCGTCATGATCTTGTAGCACAGGGTCCACACCTACTTCTTGCTGCATCCAGACTGTGGAATGTAGAGGAAACACCTGCTGATAGAGTCAGCTGCATCCCACACTCCCTCCTCCTCCTCAACTCCCAAGTCCTCCCAATCCATATAAACCATTTAATGTCTTTTGTAAACAACAAGGTTTCTAGTGAATGAAACAGAATAAATCAAAATAAGATAAAAACAAACTAAGACATTGGACAGGACAAAAGAAATCAAACAAAAAACTGAATGACAAGAGCCCAAGAAATGGCACAAGAAACAGATGTGGATGCAGAGAGCACCTGATTTACATATTCAGGAATCCCATAAAAACATAATTAGAAGCTTTACTATATGAGAAGAAGGAACTGTAGGACAAAATAAGATATAGATATAAATGTATAAAATGTCAATAAAGCCCTGTGACATCATAATACAAGGAGCCTCCCAAATGCATTAGGATTGGATGCTGATGACATCAGCTGATGGACCTGCACCTCATGCTCAGGGGTGTTTGGTTTTCCTAGTTAGACTCCCTTAGAGAAATCTCATTTTTCATTTAAAAGATGTTATAATTGTTGATAAATTTTGGATTACATGTACACTTCTTTCAGCTCTAAAACTCCCTCTACTGTCAACACACACAGGTCCTAGTTTTCCACTGTGAGAAAAACTGTCTTCATGGTGAGGGAGAGAGCCTTTGAATGGGGTCATTTCTGCTTTTGTAGCATTCCCAGGAGAGTGACACAGATTCTAGGAACTAACTGATCTTGTGTCCTTCTCGAGTAGGGTTCTAACTGCCATAGGAGACAGTGTTCTGAGCCTTGTGTGTGGTTAACTCAGAGGAATAAATCTTGAGTAGATTGAGAGAACACACTTTCTTGCCCCTCTGCTCTTACTCCCCAGGCTCTGCACCACTAATTTATTTTGGTTTCCCTTTTGCTCTCTCACAAAAAACACATTTAGCAATGTTGTTGTTCATATGCACTTGATGTAATATTGGACTGTGTCCCTCTTTGTTAGCTTTGACATAACATGGTCTCAAATTGGTGATCCCCACTCCCACGTAGGTGTTGCTCTTGAATGTTTGTAGACAATTTATTGTGTCTCAGCAATCCTGTATAGGTCAGGAGATTTTCCTAGGAATATTGTGAGACTGGGATGCATCATGGCAGCCATAATATGGAGTTCTGTGGAGAATCAAAGCTATGTCTGCCCTTCAGAAATCCAGTCTCTTCCCACAGAAGTCATCCCTGCAAAACTTGCATGGGACCAGAAACTTCACATATAACAGCAGCCCAACATCCATACCAATATTAGTCTTTCTGTTGATGGTTCCCAGAATTCACAAATAAGGGAACCCTCTTTTCTATATATCCTGACACTGATGTTTATATTAGATCAATGGAGTTCTTCATGATGGTGTTGAAACTTTACATTGCACAGGTTAGACCAGGTGGGCACTATAACTTGGAGGACAAGGAAATTCTGTCCACCTTACTTGGAGTAGGAGACACTTCCTAAGTATTCTGTGATCAGGTAAAAAAGGCCCAGAAGTTAAGGAAGGATAAGGATAAACTTTGAGAAAAAAATTCCGGGAGAAAAATAATTACAATGGCAGGAAAACAGAGATTCCAAACAATTCTCCCTTGACTGTGCTCATGTATGTGAGAGGAGCCAGGTCAGATGGGAAAAAACTGTTTTTGATACTCAGGGAAAAAGTTTATATACCTTGCTGGCTCAGATCTGAGTTTTTTTAAAAGTGTTCAACAGAGATAATCTCACTTTATTGTTGTTGTTGTTGTTGTTATTTTGATGAAAATATTTCAATTGTAGCCATGCTACCAATGGCAGAGTTACTTCTGTTCTTGGAATTCAGCTTTTGCATACCAGAATGTGTGTTCTACATAAAACCATAACAAAACCAAAAAAGCATATGTAGACAGAACTGATTGGATTCAGACATTTCAAAGTTATAACAGATGGAAAACCCAAGAGAGGTGCTCAGTTGCCCTTCTGCTTCTAAGAACAAAGTGTTGGGGTCAGTGTCTCACGCACTTTACACTGGTGTACAATCTATGTCAGTCAGTGTCAACCTAGAACTTGTGACAAAGACAATCCAATTACAGGGAGCAGAGAATGAGCACCCAGTGCTCTCAATGACATGAACAGGCCTCTTACGTTCCCAGCCTGGAATCACATTGCTCTGACCCCAATGTTATCTGAGCAGGAGTCCATTTTGTTGTCAGTGAAGAAATTCCACACCCTGACGACTCCACAGCGTGACAGTCAGCTCTAACTGTTACTCTAAATTAGTAAGAATTGTGATTACTAATACAAAAAACGATTCAGGGTTGGACATATCTATAAACAAAAACATGAGTTAGATTTATTAGGAAAGTTAACCTGAATCCCCACAAATCTTGGGGAACAACATCCCAACGAAGTATTTGAAGTGGGGCCACATGTATCAAATTAATTTTGAAAGGGATTTTTTTTGTTTGTGCTGATATGGTTGATTTATAGTTTATTCCCATTATTCCCATTAAGTCCAGAACCATTTCCAGTCTCTTAGGCTTTCAATAGAGGTGGTCACTCATAGTGCTCTGGACAAGTGTGGTGCATTGTAGGGACATCCTAAATTAGCATCACTTTATTCCCAATAGTCCTTTGAACTGATGAAAAAGACTCTGTAAGACTGTGAAGTTACAAAGGGTCACAACAAATGATTATTCTAGAGCAAGTCTCCACGCTGATCTTCTCTGTCGTCTCAGTCCCAGGACATGTTCCTGCTCCTCCAGGGTTACTGACACACTCAGGATGTGTTTACAACACTGTGTTTCTTGTATAGTAATAGACAGCAGAGTCCTCGGATGTCAGGCTCTTGAGCTCCATGGAGGCTGTGCTGGAGGATTTGTCTGTAGTCAGTGTGGCCTTGCCCTGAATCTTTTGAGTATATTTAGTTTCACTGTCTTCTGGATCATTAGCTTCAGTCCACTCCAGGCCCCATCCAGGCCTCTGCTTCTCCCAGTTCATATAGTAATCAGTGAAGTTGTAGCTTGAAGTCTTGCAGGACAGCTTTATTGAGGACCCAGGCCTCACCAGCTCAGCCCCAGACTGCTTCAGCTGGACCTGGGAGTGGACACCTGTGGAGAGAAAGGCAGAGTGGATGTCATTGTCACCTGAGTGCATGGCCCCTCCTCAAGTCTGGAACTTGGAGCCCTTACCTGTAGCGGCTGTCACCAGGAAGACGATGATAGAGTTCCAGCCCATGGTGAGGACCTGTGTGCTCAGTCACTGAGGAGAGTATACTGATCATGTGTATTTGGTGGTGAGGACATCCCTGAATTTACCACCATAGACTCCCATGATTTGCATATTCATAAGCAGGGTTCTTCATAGATAAGGACTTAGTTCAGCTGGAGCAGAAGGAGGTGGAGGAAACCTCGATCAGGCAGCAGGATGCTGAGGTCCACGTCCTAATCCTTTGTGAGGAGGCAGACATTCCGGAGTCCTGTGCAGACTCTGTAATAATAACAGTCACTATTCTCTCAATTTAAAGAGAGAATGGCACCCTGAGATACTCGGTCCTCTTGGTGACCAAACTGGTTTCAGGTGGGGGGTAATGAATGTGATTGGAATTTTCCAATGCTCCTAAATAGGGAGAATTTGAATTCTTTCATTTTGTGCTTTTTTAAAATAACAACAACAGTGAGTTCACATCTGCATCAATCCTGTTTTGTCTGGAAACCTTTGTCTCCTTGGTGTCCTCCATTCCCTCTGGAATTTATTATTTATGAGCATCCTCTTTTGCAGGGTTCCATAAGCTCTGTGGGGGCAGAATTGAAGGGGACATCACATTAAATGTTCCAAGGTCTCTCACTTTTCACATATTCTCCAGTTATTCTTTGTATTCCTGGATATTGCAGGAGGCTCTATGATAATGAATGAGCAAGACGCTGAGCTATGTATATAGGGGAATTCACTGGAGTTATTTTATTGCTAGTTACTTTAGGATAACATGAATATTTGTTATTCTCCAGGTTTCCCTTGTCTAATCTTAGGTTCTTGGCCACCATAGTGTCAGGATTGGTTCCATCGCATTGAGTGGGCCTTAAATGTAATCTGTATATTGGTTGATTCATTCCACAAGTTTTTGCACACTATGTATCAACGTGTCCTGCAGGCCTGTCATGACTGTAGATCTAAGGCTGTAGATCTAACTCTGCAGGATGAGGTGTTTGGGCTTCCAAATGACTTCTCCATCAGACAGCAGATAAGGCCTAAAGTCTAGTTTTCACAGCCACTAAGAGATGCCTTCCTGAGTGCAGGTTGTCATTATGAATGCATGTATTAGTTGATAAATAAAACACTGTTTGCCCATTATCCAAGCAGGAATAATAGTTTGGGTTTCTAGATCAGTAGAATCCTGGGAAGAGGAAAGCAGAGAGTCCCGAGAGGAGACACCATGCAATCAAGGGAGGAGTAACAGAACTGGAACCTTTTCTGGTAAGAAAAGACCACATTTAAATATTTAGCTTAATAGAAATAGGGTAATAATTAGCAGGGCATCGGTGGCACACGCCTTTAATCGCAACACTCAGGAGGCAGAGGCAAGCAGATTTCTTGGACAGCCTGGTCTCCAGAGCGAGTGCCAGAGTAGTCGCCAAGGCTACACAGAGAAACCCTTTCTCTAAAACCAAAAAAAAAGTGAAAGAAATGGGGCAATAATTAAGAGAGAGGTAGCCAGTAAGAAGCTCTAGCCATCACCCATCAAATTTATAATTAATGTCTCTGTGTGCTCATTTGGGGGCAGAATTGGTGGTGGAGTGGGACAGCAACCTGGGAATTCACTTCCGTGTTCATCAGAGAATCATTCTGTCACCAACTTTGTGAGTTTACATGTGTTTCTGCCTTGTTGTATCTGGAAAACACTGATTCCTTTATGTTTTCTAAAACCTCTGGTTCTTAGAATCATTCTAACTACTCTTCTTCATAGGTTCCTGCATAGGAAAGTTTCTTAAATTTGATCAGTTGCAGGAACGTGTTACTATTCTGTGTTTGTTTATCCCTTTTGGGACAGGGATTCCCTACGTATTTTCTGAGCCTGTCCTGGAACTTGCTCTGTATACCAGGCTGGCCTCCAACTCAAAGAGATTGACTGACCTCAGCCTCCCATATGCTGGGATTAAATGAGTGCACCACCTTCACCACCTGACTTATGCAGCTCTTCTTAAAAATAGGATATTGAAGCAGATCTTTTGGGCAGCTGGCCAAACTCTACTGCAAACTTCACGTTCCTCTCTGTCCCTGAGACCTGGCCTGACCCTAAAATATCAGTTTCCTGTTCCATGAGTTGATTCCTATGGAATTTGCTTCTTTACACATCATGAGCATCACATGTGATAGAAAACTTTTCATGGACCCACTCTGTTACAGCTGCCCCAACATACCTAGATTCAGTTGACAGAGTCGGTCACATCTTGGTATCACTAAGAAGAAGCGCCACCTTCCCTTCCAGCCTCCATCTTGCTCAGACCTTACTCATCGCCTAAACTGCAAGTCCTTCAGGGACTGAAAGTGAGGTGGTCCCTCATAGGCTCCCAGATTTGAATCCTTGGTTATCACTTGGTGGAACTGTTTGTAAAGTTTAGGAAGCGTGACCTTGTTGAGGAAAGTGTGTCATTTGGAAACCCCTGGGGATTTTACAGACCCATGCTGTTTCAGAGACCACTGGTTCTTGCTCATAGATCAAGCTATGATCTCTCAGCTGATGCTCGTCACTAAGCCTTTATTCAGCCATCGTCCCCTATAAAGCTCTGAAGCTGTAAGCCCAATGAATTGCTTCTTTTTTTTTTTACAATGCCTTGGTCAGGGTATTTTATCACAACACTAGAAAAGTACCTAAGATAGGTGTCCTTAGCAGTTTGCACAGTGAGGAGAATTTTGCAGAGACTGAAGTTAGAATTTCTGTGGCTGTCAGCCAAATGATCTGACTCTGCAACTGATGTAACAGATAGATACAATGTGATCTATGATGGCAAATTGTGTGTTTGTGTCTCTCTCTGTGTGTGCGTGATCATTTGTGTGTGTGTGTGTGTGTGTGTGTGTGTGTGTGTGTGTGTGCGTACAGGTGCATGTATGCAAGTGACTTTCTAGGTAAATAGATTCTTGCTTAATCTCATTTCTCAGGAACTTTAACTGATGGGGTTGTTTTATAAATTTTCCATGATGAACAGAGATGACAGTCATGGAGTAATGAACAGAGTTAGCTAAAAGCACAGCTGGGTCACATCTGAACTGAAGTGCACAGTCCTCAGGGAGAAGAGAGGGGGGAGGTTCCAGACCTGCCAGGGTTGATGGTCTAATAATCTTTGCACAACCTTCCTCCTGGTTTTCCCTTAAACACACATTCATGAGCATTGAAATCAAGAAATCTGACCAAGGCTCTGCATAAAGTAAGAAGAGACTCAGAAATGTCCACGGAATTCCTTATCATGTGATTTCCATGGCTATGTCAGGGTCCTTTGTGTCCTCAGAGCTGTCAGTTTGCATCTTGTGCATGGGGGACTGTGCCTCGTTTTTAAAATAGTACAAGAAGAAGACGTGATGTATTGAGGACACTGCATCCCTTCAGAACACATGTAGAGAGAATTTCCCTGAAACAGCAAGGAAAAGTGGAGCCCAGACACCTGAGAGGATCACATCTGTATCATCTCCTGGACTGAAGCTGTGTCTGTGTGTGCACTGCGCCCCCTGGTGGTCGTGAGCGGCCTCACGGTGAGGTTTATGTCTGGGTTCACACTTAAGTCTCATCATTGTGTAACTAGCACAGTAATAAGTGGCTGTGTCCTCAGCCTTTAGACTGTTCATTTGCGGGTACAGAGCACTCTTGCCATTGTCTCTGGAGATGGCGAATCGTCCCTTCACCAACGGCACATACCTTTTGGCACTGCTGTTTCCATTAATGTCTGCAACCCACTCCAGCCCCTTCCCTGGAGCTTGGCGAACCCATTTCATCCAGCCGCTAGTAAAGGTGGAATCCAGAGGCTACACAGGAGAGTCTCAGGGACCCCCCAGGCTGTACCAGGTCACCACCAGAATACACCAGGTGCTGCTCGCACTGGACACCTGCAAACCCAGAGAATACTGTCAGTAAAATGCCACACAAGCTCCATCAAGCTCATATCCACTAACACACCCCTTATCTCATCTCCATTAATCACCTTTTAAAAGAGCAACAAGGAAAACCCAAATCAGCCCCAAATCCATGGTGTGAACTGTGTTCAGTGCTGATCACTGAGTGTGAAGACCTGAGATTCCAGGGCTGGGCTCCTTTGTCTGAGCTTCAGGGTCAGTGCTGGGCTGGTTATCATGGGAGGAGAGAGGCCTTATTTTCATGTCTTACTGCTCTATAACAAGTTCTGTATTGGGCACTGAAAGATAGCATGTCACAGTATATCTGAAAATATTTCTCAACCTTCTCTCTTAAGATACTCAGGATCATGGTAGAAAATGTGTCCGATGGAGTGACTGACTCTTGTGGACACTAAGCCTGCTGGAATAAACAGTCAAAGAGAAGAGAAGAGCCAGGAAGGTTTAATCCACAGAGGACACCATTGATCACCATCAGTCCAAGGTCACCTGTGAGGCAAATTCCAGATGGTTCTATATGTAATTCCATAACAAAAGGAGTGAGGAAGGAGAGGAAGAAAGAAAGCAGAGTGGGAACACTGGTTGTCAAAGTTGATTCATTTGAAACCCAATATGTAAGTGAAAAAACAGGTGTATATGAAAATCTCAGGCATAAATATCTGAAAAGGAATCCAGTTGACATTAATCACCTATCCTCAAACACAGTGATCTAAGATGGACTCCAGCAGGTCACAAGTACCGAAATATAAACACACACTCTCACAGGAGTACACACACACACACACACACACACACACACACACACACACTATTCAAACACTGACTCAGGAAAGACAAAGCCTGAATGATAACCACTTTTTATATTTTATGCCAAGAAAAGTAAATAGGTGAAATTACAGGGAAATATTGTTACTTCTGTAATGTAAATAGTATCTTTGGAGGTGTGGAAAGAAATAAGGTAGAATTAGATAACTTAATATCACTCTTTAATCCTCAAGACAGACAGTGAAATTGATATCTAAGGCATCATTAAATATTTATTCAAAGGACATGCAATGCAGCAATCTAAACTAAAACAAGTGTTGGTAGAAAAAGATGAACAAGAAGTAACTGAAGTAAGCAGTTGGATGCTTTATTTTAAAGCAAATCCACCACAGTTAAAGTTTCTGGGCATGCCATTAAACAACTGGTAGAAAGAATTTGTCATCTTAATTGGATGAAAATTATAAAAGGTCTAGTATATATTTCCAAAGCAAATTTCATTTAAGCATAAACAGGAAGAATAAATATTAGAAAGATAAATTATACAGTGACAATAAAAATCAAAACAGAATTTTTAGTTCCTAATACTGATTTCAGTTAAAGATGACATCACCAGGAAGAAACCATTGTCACCTATGTGGAATACTACAGGATACACAGAAATCTCACATGCCAATGTATAAAGCTTCTCACAGCAGCTCTCACTTGCCTCACAAAACGTAAATGCATACCATATGGGACTACCACTTCCTTAAATCTCCTCAAATGTATCATTCCTGCATTAATCCAGTCAGATCTTGCACAGCCTGGGAGATATCTTTCATTTGGCAGCTGTTCCTGTAAGGTGACTGGATAAATTAAGGTTGGTTGTTTGAAAACCTTGATCTGTTCTTCTCCAATCTTACAATGTAATACTGAGTGTGTATCTCTCAATTCCTCTGTCTTTGTCTGAATATCTCTTAAACCTTGTAACTTAGTCAAAATGGAATTACTTTCTTTATTAACTCTCTAAGACCTGTATCTTGGCACTCATTTTGAACAAGTTGGCACTCACATCAGCCAACATTTTAAGGGAAAAGAATGATCAATTCAGTAATGTTAATAACTGGCATTACATGGATTCTATCTAAGTTAATTATCCCCTCATTTAGTTGTTCCATTTCAAAACCACACATACAGTGACATAACTCCTTCCATCATAATGGTGTTTCTAATTTTTTTTTTGCAGTGGAAAAATCTTTTAAACTAATTCCCTCTGTAACAATAAATCTTTACTCTAAGTCGCCCAATCCCTGCTGCCACATATGAACCCAAAGTAACACACAGAAATTATTAGGTACAATGCTGCTGGCCAATGACTAAGATTTATTACTTGCTAGCTCAGGCTTAATTATCAACCATAACTACTAATCTATACATGTATAAGGACTTATCGAGGATGGTGGCAGAATGTGTCCTCTTTCTGTGATCACATGGTGGCTCCACAGAGAAGAGAGGAGGAAGAAAAGAGCGATTTCCTGCTTGTCTCTGTTTATATTCTTTGTTGGCCTGCTATGTCACTTCCTGCCTGGATCACACGACTTCTCTTTACTACATTTCCCAGAATCCTTTTCAACTCCTAGTCCCGACTAACTTGCTTCTCTATAGGCCAATAGTACTTTACTTATCAACCAATAAGAAAAACATACACCCACGGTCCTCCAAATCTGCTGCTGATGATGGTGAAATGTGATACTTATTGACTCTGAGTGGAGATGGCTGGCTCTGAAAAGCCTGGTGAGTACACACAGCTGCTGCTAATGGCCTGTCAGAAGTCTGAGGAGGGGAATCCAGGGAAAGCCCAATCCCACTGGGGAAAAGAAGCCAAAGAGACACCTGTTTCACTACGGAACGTGCAAATATGCTAACTCAGGTGGCGTTTGGAAGTGAAGCACCTGAAATGTCTTCTCATGAATCTTAATCAATAAAAGCCAGAAGTAAGAGATCAGGGTCAGAACCTAGACGGTCAGAGAATGGGGAATAGCTGCCAGTTGCTTCCTACCTGCTTTGTTCCTGCATCCAAAAAGGCTGAGATCCTGTCCACAAGCCACTTTATCTCTTCCTGTCTCCACCTCCCAAGTTCCTGGATTAAAGGTGTCAGCAAAGAACGCTGGGATTAAAGGTATGTTTCTCCACTGCCAGGATTCTGTGGTTAAGTAGTAGCTAGCTCCACCCTCAGATCTCAAGGCAGCTAGAGACCACAAGTGCAGGAAATATTCAAGGAAATCCTTATGAAGTGACAGCTGAGACCTCAGCACCAGCCCCCAAATTTATCTGCACCTGTCATTGCACTGTCCCTCCCTCCATGTGTGATCTGCGCCCCCTGCTGGTTTTGAGCGCTCCTGCAGGGAGGTTTGTGTCTATGTTTGGAATCCCAAAGATGACCACTCACTGTGTTTCACACATAGTAGTAAATAACTTGTGTGTGCTTGCCTCTGCAGTCTCTCTGAGTTGATATATCCAACAGTCCCTTGTGTTCAGAGGAGACTATTTCTTTGGAGTCCTCCATCACCTCTGGCACCTGCAATCTTTCCACCGCTGCCCCTACATTGGTTCCTTTGTCCTGAGGTGAAGGTTATTGAAGATCGCCTTTTTAGGACCAAGTGCTCCCAAGTCTGTCACCTGCACACAGTGTTCGTTTGTTGTTCTCTGCCAACTCCCCATCAACAGTAAAGATAAACATATTTGTTGCCTGATAACATACTAAATGCATCCAACACTGTGAATGCTCCTCAGGAGAGGTGAAGTTTTTACTTGGGCTCAAGCTCAACTTCTTTTTGTTCACTGAAATATAAAGTAGTGTCTTCAATGATAGGATGTTATCATCAGTTTTTTGGGGGAGCAACTAGCAGTAACTTTTTGTGGGATTTCATGAGGGCTCTTTAGCCAATGACTCAACTTGAAAATGAGTATCCACTAATACTCATCTTCTACATACCCAGTTGTTTACTGAGGGTAAACATTACAATAAATTGAAATCTGCTGTGAAGTTTGAGGTTTAAGACTCAGTGGACCTAAGCTCTGAACCTCTTGTTAGAGACCAGGCACCTTTCATCCTAATGAACCCAGCGGGTTATTAGGAGTCTTGTCACAGTAGCTACGTCACGAGAATTCCATGGTCTCTGCAGTTATTTGAGGTCAGGACAGGAAACCTTAGCGTCTCAGAGGACTCCTCACTCTCCAGATGTTTCTCTCACCTACTATAGTTTCTTTCCTGGAGAAAGTTGGGTCTACATCGCCCCCTGCTGGTCCTGAGCATCCTCACATTGAGGTTGTGTCTGGGTACAGAAGAGATACCATGCAACCAAACGCTGTATGTTAACTTTGCTTTAACATCCCCACTTTTAGTAAGCCTTGAATAGGTAGTCAAATAAATTTACACACAGAAATATAAAATCAAGATTACGAGACACTAGAAGTTTTTAAATCTGGAAACCTTTTGTGGGAGTGAAATGCATTTGAGCGATGATCCTGTTTACATCAAATGAAGAGCATCTGAACCCTGATAGCAGCATATTTTTGCAGATTAATGTTTGCCTACAGGTTACACGTGTGTACACACAGTGATGCAATCATGCTCTTATCTCTGAGGGTCTGCTCTGCTATTCCACAGCTGCTTTCCACTCGGCTTCTACATAGCAAACACATCACAGCCTCTGGCAGTCTTTAGCACCCATGACATGCCTTGAAATAAAAGGATTCTGGGCTCTGGAGGTGAGATCCAGAAAAAGAGAGGAGTACCTGAGGACACAGCCAGCACCTTCCATGCAGAGTGATATCGGGAAGAGGGAATAACCCATGTTTGGAAAACAGATGTCATCACTGTCAGCACAGATGTTCCCTTTAGACAAACGAGTTTCCTCAGGTAATTCACCTGATGTCTCACATAGTAAGGAAAAGGCATCTGTCACAAGGTTTCTACAAATTACAATGTAGGAACTTGGGAAGTTTGAATATTGACTAGATCTTTCTGTTTAAAAATTTCTATAGAAAAATTAAACACTACATAGGAGATTGAAATAACAAAGAATTTACAAGTCTTGGTTTTATAATTGATGACAGGACTAGCAGGCTTCTCTGGAGACAATTACTGTATTTATAACATGCACATTATGAACTATAAGATAAACACAATTTACAACAATGCAGATAAGTCTATGTAGAATAGTAAAGTCACCTAAACCTGAAAGCTAGAAAGAAAGGAATACTAATTTAGGATTGTGACTGGAAATGTTCAGTGAAGATGAAAGAAGCCCTTGGCCGGGAACTGACAACTGGGATCATAACACCCATATCTAAACTACCAGAGCTGAAATCCAGATTCAAGACTCAAATTTAGTTATTTCCCCCTAAAGATTTTCTTTTTATATTTTAATCATGTACTGGCAATTTCCTTTTTATTATTTTTTCAGTGATGATTTTTGAAAATATCATTCTTTTGTGTTTGTGTGTTTTAACATTGTACCATACATTTGAGCAGGTGTAAATATTCAGTTCTTGAGATAAGTGTGTGTTTTATCTTGGAATACACAGATTCTTTGAGAGGCTCCTAAGCAGACCTAATGCAAGCACAGGGGTCTGTGGATGTTTGTTGTCAACAGTGGCTGCTCTGAAGGCCAGCACTTCCCAGCAGAGCTGTCTTCTCCTTCTTTGCACTCTCGTTTGTAAGCATGTAGATCACCGGAGTGTTCTTGTCTATGACAGCATGATAGAGGCTGAGGTTACTGTTTCAAAACATGGTTTCAGAATTGTTTGTTAAAAGTTTACTGCATTTATATAAGATATGTTATGACAACAGTAGGTTTTTGTTTTTGTTTTGTTTTGATTTTGGTTTTTCAAGACAGGATTTAACTGTGAGTTTTGGAACCTATCCTGGCAATCTCTGTAGAGAAGGCTGGCTTCAACCTGACAGAGATCTGCCTGCCTCTGCCTAGGAGTGCTGGGATTAAAGGTGAGCACCACCAATGCCTGGCCAAGCGTGGGTTGTATACCAAGTTAATGATGCTATACCATGTTGCCTCTCCAATTCGTGTGGCTGGATTGTCAACACAGAACTGTGAATATTCAACCGAAGAACAGACATCAATTTCCTGTCTGTCTAATCAGTAATGTCATAATCCTAGTCATGGAGGAAGGCAGATATTTCCTCTGTTGCTGTCTGGGCACAGAAGAACCACTTCCTTGAGTTTTTCTGACACCTTTAGGATGTGGTTTTTCACACTGTGTATCTCGTACAGTAATACATGGCTGTGTCTTCATTCTTGAGGCTGCTGATCTGCAGATATGCAGTGCTAACAGAGGTGTCCAAAGAGAAAAGAATCTGTCCTGTGAAGTCATCAGCATATGTTGTCTTCCCATTGTTGGCATTGATCCAGCCCATCCACTTTATGTCCTGTCCTGGTGCCTGCTTCAGCCATTGCATTCCTTGTTCTGTGAAGGTGTACCCTGAAGCCTTGCAGGAGATCTTCACTGACTGCCCAGGTTGCTTCACCTCTGCTCCTGACTGCACCAGCTGGATCTGTGTTTGGACACCTGTGGAGAGAACATGGGGAAGTGAGAGGTCATGGAACTGCCTCAGTTTACCCTGTGGCTGTGGGCTCTGATGTCTTACTTTGGGCAGCTTCCAGCAGAAAAAGGAGCCTCCACACCCACCCCATGCTGTATGAGTTTGGGGATCTGTAGTTTTCTGGGACTAATCAGGCTCTCCCTTGCTGGGTGAGGGAGATGAGCCTCAGATTTCTACTCTAAAGGTTTTGCATAGAGCACATTTGAATATTACCAGGACCTAAAAAAATTGAATGCAAATCTAATATGCAAGGCTCTAATACTCCAGGTGGCTAACACCATGTCTTCCAGAATCTGGTGTTTATGTTTTCACACTGGCTCTGTTGACCCCCAAGGCTTCTGTTTATGCTGGGTCTGCACAGGGACAGCTCCACCTGTGCATCTCACAGTCTCACTGCTTGATTCCATTCAACAGGGCAGCAGTGGCCTTTGTCTTCTATTCATCACGTCCCCGTCCTATTGAGAGTCAGCAACCTTAACCTTTCCAATGGAGACGGTGTCTGCTCACTGAGACCTCTGCGTTTCTTCTTCCTTTCCTCACATCACTTCTAAATGTGTGCTATTCTTGGACTCTGTGGCCCTCGGCACTCCCATGTCAGTGTCTGCCAGTATTGATGAAGAGATTGGAAATAAGGTTCATTTGTATTCAAAACTATGAATTCTGTGCTCTCTTTTTACATATGTCATGTAATAAATATTATAAATATTAAAAATTGTGAGAAGTTCTATGGGGGTTTGGAGGAAATGATGTACATGTATTAATATAAAATTTTAAAAATATTGTAATAAAAATAGTGAAGCAGATTCATAACACAGAACAGTTTAGATATCTGATGAGAGGATCAGCAGTTAAACAAAGGTACTGACTTTCAAAAAACCTGAGTTTTATTTCTAGAACATCAAGTAGCTCAACATACAAAGAATTCTTGCTCTATAGGAGCCCACTCTTTTGGTTTCTTGGGCAACTAGAGTCTTGATCATGTACCCATGCAAAGACATTGACAAATAACCAGAATTATAATAATTTGATTATAGACTACTTTAATAGTAAATCAACTCATGTGAAAAATGTCAACCTTAAATATAATTTCTGGATTCATTTCTTGTACTGTTGTAACAGACAATAAAGAATGCAATGAAGAAACTGCGGCAGAGACCATATACACTGGATAATTTGAAATCCCATGAGAAGCCTTGCTCATTTCAAACTCATTTCTGTTCTTTTCTAATCCCAAAATAACAAGACTGCTTGACATTAAAGGAATCTGACTCTACCTACCTCCCACATTTGATGCTTGTAATGAGACACAAAGAGCAACAGTACATTGACCGATAGAAACATACAGGGCCTGGAGTCATCAAGAAGCTTTGCAATGAACAGGCATCTGAGAAAGTAGAGATACTAGGGGTGTCTCACAAATGAGGTAAAGTGAATCAGAAGTGAAGAAACCAGTGGTGTTTGAATGTGCATGTGGTCTGTGCTGATAGTGTGGCCTCAGGACAAGCAATTATAAGATAGTGCAAAACATTAACTGTGGGAGTGAGACAGGAAACAAAAAAATGCGAACCAGAGTGCTGTGTACATAAACCTGACGTTTGTACTGTGCGGTCCTGCCAGCTCCAAGGTCCTGCAGTTTCTTCTGCACAGTGGGCTGGAAGAGGAAGTCAGGGCTCACAGGAAGTGCTTTCTGGCCTTCTGTGCATCTGCTCAAGGATACAGTTGAAACCACGGAGTTTGGCGCCCCCTGATGGAACACTGTCTCCCTGCAGCATGCTGGTCACTGGCTGATGGTCAGAGCATCATGGTGGCTCCCTGTGCCCAGAACAAAGACCTGTCTCAGAGACACTCCACAATTTGGATTTGGGAAATGTTATGAGCACTCCTTCCTGACAGCCTGGTCCCAAATGAACACTCAGACATCATATTAATTATAAACGGTTGGCTTATTGGCTAGTTTTGTCTTTATTATTAACCCATTTGTATTAATTGAAGAATTTCTACATGGTCTTACCTTAGTGGAGAACGACTCACACATGTCCTCATCTCCCTGGGATCACAAGATGACCATTCTCTGCCTACACTTCCCAGAATCCTCCACATCTCCTAAACCTGCCTATCTTGCTGCTCTGTTGGCCACAGTGTTTTATTCATCAACCAATAAGACAAACATATTTACAAAATGACATCTACCATCATCTCCTCATTTCTGTCTAAATAAAAAAAGGTTTAAACTTTACAGAGTCAAATTATATATAACAAAACACTTATGAAGCAAGAACTATAATTTTAGTATCTCGTCCATTAACACTTAGCAAGATTTAAAGAAAGTATTCTATCATTTATTCTGCCTTTGTGAGTCTAAAGTCTTCTATGCAACTTATCTTTTATCATAACTAAGGAAAACCATAACTATCTGTCTTCAACCCCTTCAAAGACGATAGAAGAATAGTCTATAAACTCTAGAATTGACAAAGACATCTCATAATCTGGACTTGCCTCTGTAATGTTGGGGCATTCATTTTCTGCCCATAAGCCACAGTGTGTCTGGCAGTCTTCTCAGTGAATCAGGAAATTTTAAGCTGTCTGCCTGTATTGGTAGTTTGTCATTCGTTTTTCTCTGTGGCCTTCAGAATGTCTGACAGACTTTTCCACGAAGCAGGAACCCTGCAGCAATGTCTCATGTGGTTTCAGCAGTCACGTTCCTGTGGATCCTGTATGTCAAGTTTACACAGCACGCAGTCAAACAATCTGGCAAGAGCAGTTTTTTTTTTTTCCAAATGGCTAGTCTCACCATATTGAAAGTAATTCCATAAGGCGTCTCTTTGATGCCCTCCTTCCTTTCTCATGCAGTTGATATTGCCAGGAGCAGTTGTGTCTCACTGTCATGAAAAACCCTAAACCATTTTAAATGCCATATTCTGTAGGTCTTTGAAAGGTTTGAAAAGTATCTATCCATTTGAAATATAACTCTATATATGTAGAAAACCTAGCTAACCTAACTAGAAGTTTTGAATATTATAGGTAACCATCTTAATCTACTTATTTGTACATTACATTTTTAAATGAGCTATACAAACACAATATCCAAACAAGAGGAGAAATATATATCTATCAAAATTGATGCTAAATTTGTATCAATAAATGAAAATCCTTACCAATACAAAGTGTTCATTCCTATATCATATTTCCCCATTTTTTAAGAGATTGGTTGTGATCTTAACCATTTATAACCAATCACATTTCAGTGAAAACAAATGTTTATGAACAATATTTGGGAATTTGGCACCCTTCAGTACAAATTGTTTCTGTTGGTTGGTGACATGAAATACATAATCCAATTTCAGAAAGCAGTCTAATGAGCACCCACCCTAGGGCTGCTGCTGATAGAATTAATCCTCTTAATCTAGAGGCAGCACATGTGAGGGACAGGGCCCGTGGGGGGTTCACCAGGACAAATATGACTCCTGTGGCTACACCTGGACAGGAAACCCGAGAACAGTGAACATCACCATCAGTCACACACACTATGAGAACAGTGAACGTCACCATCAGTCACACACACTATGAGAACAGTGAACGTCACCATCAGTCACACACACTATGAGAACAGTGAACGTCACCATCAGTCACACACACTATGAGAACAGTGAACGTCACCATCAGTCACACACACTATGAGAACAGTGAACGTCACCATCAGTCACACACACTATGAGAACAGTGAACGTCACCATCAGTCACACACACTATGAGCCACATGCCCAGTTGCCTTTCTTTAAACCCTGTGTCTGTCACTTCTGAGAACAGCCTTGAGCAGAGATGCAGTCCCTGGACACACCCACTTTAATGGAGCTCCTGTGAGAAGGAGATTGGGGTCAAAGGTCCGAGATGGGCTATGAGCCTGAGGCTATGAGATGAGGCTGCTCTCAGTGGTTGAGTCTACAGAGGAGACAAGAGGGGAGAACACTGCATGTCAACCTTGCCTCAAGGACAGAATCATTCACCCTGAGTTTCCTAGAGGAAATAGAGGCACAGTCCTCAGGGGTATATTCTTTTTATATACTTTATTTGTTCTTTTAAATTTC